CCCAAATCAGTGAGAGGACATGTAGGCATTTCCATATTAGATGTCTATAAACCCTACCACACAAAGCCCTAAAACTGAGGTTTTGCCTCAATTTGCCTGCCTAGGCTCTAGGTCCACCTGCCCTACGCCCTAGGTGGTAACACAGAATAGATTTGTTTGGGGATGGGAAAACTGATGGAGACAATGTTGAGCTCATTCTGGGAAACGAGGGTAAGGGCTTATGGCCACCAACTTCTAGCTGAGAAACGAACATCAAGAGCATCAGACCACATGACAGAAAAATAAGTAAATGTAAGATCTGAGAAGCTAAGTAAAACCCTATAATCCTGAATTTGAATTGAAAAAATGAATATGAATTTATATTCATATTTCCTATTTCCTAGGAAACTATTTCCTAGTTGTATCTATTGAAAAGACCCAGAAACAATGACAGTAGCAATGAACACCCCTAGCACAAAATCGTGATCTTTAAATATCATTTCCCATCAAAAGGAACGAGGTATCCTTGGAAAAATAGCTGATTTCAGATCTGGGGTATGAAATGTACAAATAAATCCTGATAAATAAGGAGAAAGAATCAAAGTTTACTTTGCTTTTCTCATACAAATTGTATACTCAGGTAACAAATGTTTGGTAATTGAAAGTTTCTCTTTCTAGAAGTATTAAGCTAATAAAAAAAAAGGAATGATAAAGTTAGAATACCACCATTTTATAATCTCTAATGAGTATGTATACTAGTCAACAACCATCCATGGCTGCTCACATCACAAAAAGAGAACATCCAGACATTTTTTGCCTCCTGATAGAAGCACATAAATCCATTCACAAAGTATTCTTGCCAGAATATTGACCCTAAAACTAATCAACTTCTTGACCTAACTACCAATTTATAAGAAATCCAGAGAACAGGGAGCGTCTTAAATGACACCACAGGGAAACAATCAGTAAATTCCAGATGGTTAGACACTACAGAACAAATAACCCAGTTTCATCAGTAAATTCATTGCAAGGAGAAAAAGAGAGAGGGAGATCTATAGGTTAAAAGGTTCCCCAACGGATACAGCAACAAACTAACATATGAATTTTATTTGGATGATGATTCAAACAATCTAAAAGAATTATGAGACAGTCTCTCAAATAGTTAAACATAGAGTTGGCATATGATCAAGCAATTCCACTCCTAAGTATATGCCAAGAGAAATAAAAAGATATGTTCAGGGGTGCCTGGGTGGCTCAGTCGTTGGGCATCGGCCTTCGGCTTAGGTCATGATCTCAGGGTCCTGGGATAGAGCCCCGCATTGGGCTCCCTGCTCAGCGGGAAGCCTGCTTCTCCCTCTCCCACTCCCCCTGCTTGTGTTCCCTCTCTCGCTGTGTCTCTCTGTC